CGGTCCAAGTGTACTTGGATCAAATACAGTTGGACGCTGCGCATGTCTTACTTTTTTGCGTCACGCTGTTTGGATTGTGTCAACTGATTAAAAATCGGTTGATATGATTCAAGGGTCAACTAGGATTTAGTCTATATTCCTTAAATATTTTACTACTAGTTCTGTGACCAAAATTGTGCATACTTTATCTGTAATCTTTAGTATTTTTAACAGGCGCTGCAAATCAAACATTCTATCTATTTTATTTCGTCTGAATAAGGCGAACAAACTCACTCAGTAATAACGAGATATTTCTTATACTTTACTAAAATTACTTTCTATTTTGAGGTGAGACAAAAACAGAATTTACTGAAGTGGCAAAACGAATGTTGTGGAATAAAGACGCAAAAACATTCCCGCAACAAAAACAAGATGACTGAACTTTTAAGGTTTGACCTTTGCTTTGGAGGTGAACAGTTTTGTAAGACCGTATTCAATAATTTTTTTTTCAAAGAGAAAGTAAAATCTTTTTCTTTATAAAATTGATTTATTACTTTTTGTGACTTTTTTTTTATGCGTTTTTATAGCTTAACATATAGAGCTTAAATTACACATATAGTTGGGATTCTGTTTTCTATTTTCTTTTTGGGCAAATATTTATCGTATACTCTTAATCCATATTAGGACAGTTTTTGTGTGGACAATTTTTGATGACGAATATTCATTTTCTTTGGGGTCTTTATATACCTATAGGCCCCGCATGCTCGTTGTTTGTGGACAAATAATGCATAATTAAAAGAAATAATTGAAAAAATGTAAATTTGAAAAAAATGTTAATATAACATGTGAACAAAAATGTGTATTTCGTGGCAAATATTTAGCTTGTTTACCATAACAAATAATTTCTATTTCTATGTCCTTATATCTGCTCTGATTATATTCTTGAATCATTTATCAAATTTACAAATTAGAAGCATACGAAATGTTAATTTCTAAATAAATTTAGTTAGTTTATCACAATTTGCTTGGTATATTTGCATCTTCCATTTACGTTTGCATCTCCGTAAGTTTAATTCTCGCTTTAATATAAGTAATAAAGAGAATATTTTCTATGTTGACGCTTTCGACGCTTCCTAATTGTCTTTTGAGACGTATTTTGTTAATTTTAAGTTATTATTATCGTTAGTTGTCGTTTGTCGGTTGCTTTGCGCCTTCACGCCTTAGATTGAGACGCAATTAAATTTTACTCGAAGATCTCTCAATTATTCCAATGTTTTAAATAATAATCAGGCGACTTAAGGTTGTCGCCCACTAGACCGCTGCGCGACGCGGCGCTGGGAAGAGAATTTTTTCCGGCTGCGAAGGAACTGCGCCCACTATAGCGCGCTTTTGAAACGCGGCAACGCTATTTAGTTATAGTCGAAGTGTTTTTTACTTACTGTAGTTTAGTTTTTAAAGCAATGAGTTCAAGTACGGACGAAAGCGTATTTTTTGTGCTCTTCTAACAGAGGAAGAGGAAGAGGGGTGAGGAAAAGTTTGGACTCATACGATTAACAAAAAAAGAAGGAAGTTTGGAGAATTTTACCATCTTTTTCCAGATGTAATAAAAGACAAGATCATTTTTTTCAGTATTACAAAATATAAAGGAAACATTTTACGCACCCCTCAATTGAGGGTTTTAGAAGCAAAACACCGAGTATCTCTACTCATCATATTTTTTCAGAAGAGACATATTACTAATACTTATTTATTCTGATGTGTATATTAGTTATGAGGTGAAAAAACCCTGATCTTTTTTATATATTTAGGTAATTAGAATTTAAAAATTGGAGATTGTCACTTTTGTTAAAAAGTGGAGATTGCCGGTTTTACCTCTACACCCCTCAATTATATTAAATCTTTGATAGAACGGCATTTCGTCCATCTGTCTCTAGTGAGGGAAGACTTAAAAAAATATCATATTCCTTTATGAAAATCGATTTGCCTAATTTACCTTTAAAAATACAATTCTACCATTGATACGTATCACTAGTTCCTAGTCAAAAAGCCAACTAAAAAGACTCGAATGCAAAATTATTTCCCTTGTGAGTACGCACACTGCAACGCGCCAAAACGCGGGAGACGGAAAAAAGTTGCTAGAGAAGTCTTCCGACTTCTTGACGGAAATCCCGCGGCGCGCTTCTCCGCTGCGCGCTCTAATGTGCGTTGGTCCATTTAAGTACATGGCAAGCAGACAAAAGAAATTTCCACATGGCGCCGCGCCGCGTCGCGCTGCGGTCTAGTGGGCGACAACCTTTAACCGCCCCAAGATAGCCAATATTGTGGTTGAGTGGTCAGCGATATTTTTACTGTGGAGTTTTCAATGCATCCCTCAAGCCTATTTTTTAATGTAGTTTTTATGAAGGTCTTTTTTACCACGTTGATGTCCTGAGGAAGGAATAAATAAATTCCGAAAGATTGACAATTGTCAGTCGACACTACGGTCTGGTTATTATTATCTATACAATGATCTTTGTCAAAAATATGTTGAATGACAGTTGTGAATGACAGATAAATTGATTTATCTGCTCCTCCATATTTTAATTGAGCCAAATATTCTTCATCATCGAATTATTATTGATCTTCTAGTTTTTTAGTTTGCCCAACATATTTTTGATTACTATCCTTATTATTCTTATAGTCCGCTCGAGCTACCAAAATCCATGCGATTTTAGAAGGGGGCCTATTTTGTAATAATAATAATATCTCCCGTATATAGCGTTTAACGTCTTGGGAGTAGCAAGGTACAGCTTGTTATACTAGAGCCGTAAGGTATACAAAAAAGGTAATGTGGCTAGCACTACGCTTCAATCGCCTATATTACCTCAGGATTGTGAATCCCAAGTACTCATTTAAGGCCGAGTCGACTTAGGTACACAAAGTATTTTTAATTTAATAAAGATAGTCGGCTAATGAAATGCCGGCTGTGGGATTCGAACCCACGACCTTTGAATTGGTGGACGAGAGCTGTATCTATACGCTATCGGGTACCGGGTATATTTTTTATGATTCTAAATAATTTTTAAGGTGTTAACGTTGAAATTAAACGCGCAGGTCACTTCAAAAATGTTGGCATTTGATCGCTACATTAAATTATACCAGCAGAAAAAAAAACTAACTAACTCACTGGTCGTTTAGCTACTTACCGTTTCCGAGATACTTGTTTTTTTTTTTATTTTGGCAAAATTTCAACTTTAAATCGTTTTTACGGGTCCTTATAAAAATCCAGGAAACGAAAAATAGACCATGGGAGGCCGCCATCAGTCCTCTATCCGATGGTGCAAAAATAGCTTTTTAGAATTAAAGGGTTTGGTAGATACCTTAAGAAAAGTTGAAACAAAAAAAATTTCCGAAAATTATCTGGACCGAAATCGAGCTTTTTTCACTTATTCCGATATGAAAGACCCCTGGATCTGCATAGATCCACGCCCAAAAGAGCGTGTGTATCGATGAATATTAATTTTTAGGGGCCGGGCCTCTGAAACTAACAAATCATATTTAATAATATCTTAGGATTATATAACGTGATCAGAAAGGAAGCCAAAAATGCAGATATTCTGTAGGGCGTCCGAGTTAAACTCATTTTTGTTGTTTATAATATTTTATAAAAAAACTATTCAGGATGAGTTTACAAAACTGAAATTTAAGGTTAGTTTCTAAACTTCGTCTTATTATTATTTTTTAACTAATTAAAAGCCTGAGATACTAGGACCTTGCTAGAACTATCCGGCCTGCAAATAGGACACTCCTCTCGGCAAGATGAATATCAATGCTGAAACCGGATCCGCCTAAGCAGATTTGAGTCCGTTGTCCGAGTCTGAGTAAAGCTGCTAAAGGCTTGCTTAATCCCTGGCTTAACACGAGGACTACTTTGTTTACGCGGTACCCGAACCGCGGCCATATCATCACTGATATCAATAGATATGTCTTTCATCCTAGAGCCGTGCTAGAGCTTTGAAGAAAAAGATCCAGAGATATAAGATAATAAATAGATAATTATATACAGGGTGTCCCAATATTCCGTCGACATTGAATTACTACGTATTTTTGGAACCAAAATAAGTTATTTGCCCATAATTTACCTCTATACAAAAGTGCCCCAGTTCAGTATACTGGGTCCGGCATACATTCATTCGCCAACTAACAGAATCATATCAATTCTTTCTGATGTAGGATAAGTTTGCATTTTCGGCTAATTTCTGAGAATTTTTTTTGTTTTAACTGACACAAATTGATAACAAGTTGTTAAAGTTGGACTAATTAGACAGCTAAGTTGAAGTAACGTTAGACATATCACAGCCACCTAGATTTTATCAAATAATAAAGATCTTCTCAGATCAAATCATGTAAATGAAAATATCTAGGAAAATCTTTGTTTGAGGGGTACATGAAATCTCCATTGAATTGAAGACTCTATTTAAAATAAAAAATAATATGCTTTTAAAGGTGACCAATGTTCAATATTAATTTTGTCTCACCCTGTATAACTTTTTGGATGAAATTTTATTTTTTTAAAGTACAATAGTTAATTTAACTACATATTAGGCTATACTGGGTAAATTCCAATTTAGGTAGCTTTTATTGTAATTTAAAAATTGTTCTTTATTTCTAGAAAATGTTAAATATATGTCTAAAACCTTACATTTTAGTCATATACCTACTCTTATAAAATTCACCTTTATTTTTCTCCCAGAATCCAAAAATCAATTAATATATAGGGTGTTCCATTACAAAAAACACAACTTTGATATGTAACTTTTTTTGGGACTCCCGGAAGAACTCTCTATATTTTTAAAGAGTGTTCTGAATTAACCTACATATTCTCACAAAATTTCATTTCAATACAAACTATCGTTCTCCTTGGAGCCTCCGCGGTGTATGAGAGGCGCCACCCTGTACAAATAGCAGTTTTTAACGCAGTATTTGCAACACAAAAATATGTAATAATATATAATTTATATTATCATTTTTTATTGTTACAGCCTCCTGAGCTTCTTCGTCGATATCCGATACAGGACCACAAAGATTTTCCGATGCCGCTGGACATGGTCTACTTCTGCCAACCGGAAGGCTGTTCGTCCGTGGGACCGAAACGAACAGCTTTACGTGAGGCTTCATCTTTCGTTTTCACTCTCACCGATAAGGATTCGGGAAAGACGCGGTATGGCGTATGCGTCAACTTTTATCGATCGGTCGAGAAATCGACTGGATTGATTGGACTGACGAAAGCGCGGGCCAACACCGGCATGCGAAGGGATAGCTGGAGGAAAAGCATGGAGAAAAGCTCCGATTCGGCGTTTTCCAGGTAAATTAAGTTAACATTGAAAAAATGCAGCTTCCCACATTAAATTCCGGAAAATCAGCCCTCAATTTAAATTGTCCTTCATTTTTACTTATTTGCAATTAAGATATGTTTTACTAAGCTTGCTTATGATTAAATATGCAAATTCGTTCTTTTTATGCGATTTAATTACGATCTGATTAAATGGTATTTATAGTCCCGAAAAGGAAAGTAAATATTTAAATAAACTCTTTTATTTATGTCAGAAAGACTTCGAATGAGAAAACTGAGGTAAACAAAAGTATACAAAAAACTAAAGAAAATTTACTAGATCGCGAAGGGATTCAATATGACTGATTTAAATTTCAGTTTATTTAGTTGCGTTCTATTTTATTAATATGGTAAATTATCTCAATATCTGTGTTGGTGTTGTTTTACGTTCGTAAAATATGTAAGATGAAAAAATATAAATTAAAAATTTTGTCAGGTCAAATTACACCAAAAAATAAGAGTAAAGGTACATAAATTTACAAGCTGAAAATACGTGTAATTGTTCAAAACATAATTAAAAATAACATTTTAAAATTCCGAATCATTCCGGTGGAAAAAAAAAAATGCGAGGTCAAAGGTCAAAAATCTCGAAAAAAATTGTTTTTTTCGCGATTTTTAGGAAAACGGCAAGTTTTATCATAAAATTCTCTATAAAAATATATCAATACTTTTTTTCCTTAGAGCCACTGTTTCTGAGATATAACGAGTCGAGTTGTAATCGTCATAATATGCACACGTTTCCACGTTACCTATAAGCCTTTAAACAAGGCTATGAGGTAGTGTACTTAGCGCGTTTTAACGTGGTTTCTCCAGTAGGCCTATTCCACATGTCTATTGTGATTCTGTTTAATTGAAAACTATTGCAGAATAAAAGATATTAGTAAGGATTGGAAATTATAAAAGCGATGGAAATAAAAAAAATAAAAATTTACTAGTCCAATTCATAACCTTCAAATACATCTTGTTGTTCTTCGTGAATTTCTTTTCCTTCTTGATCTTCGTCTTGTTCGTTTACTTCATCCTGGATGAAAGTAAATTGGGTCAATAGTGATGCACCGCATATGTTTCTTCGTTGGTATCAAACGAATCCTCTACTATTGGTGATTCAATATCAGAACATAACCGGCCTTGACAATTTGTACATGCCAGAGAACAAAACAGTCCAGCCAGTTTTGCAAAGAGCCAAAATCATGTACTATTTTTACACGCAATAACTGGTTGTGCTACGACGACGTCTGCATTTTACAGGAGGGGTAAAACAACAGTCTTTAAAATGTTTGAAAAACAAGACTTAGTTCAATGTACTCAAAGATATTTAAACTCGGGAGATACAATGATCCATTCATAAAACGCTCTAAAGCTTCATCACACATTGGTTTGCGAAAATCAACGAGTGCAAGAGAGAATGGATAGAGAAGAGAGAAAACAAGACGAAGATCAATAAGAAGAAGAAGAAGAAGAAGATCAAAAAGAACAATAAGAATTATTTGAAGGCTATGAATCAGACTAGTAAATTTCTATTTTTCTTTATTTCCATCGCTTTTATAATTTCCAATCCATACTAATATCTTTTATTCTGCAATAGTTTTCAATTAAACAGAATCACAATAGACATGTGGAATAGGCCTACTGGAGAAACCACGTAAAAAAACGCGAAAGTACACTAACTCATAGGTGGCGTGGAAACGTGTGCATATTATGACGATTACAACTCTTTGACTCGTTATATCGCAGTAACTCCTTATAGCGGCTCTAAGGAAAAAAGTATTGGTATTACTGATACCAAAAATAACTAAGCTATGAAGATATAACCAGAAACTATGAAGATATAAAATGTCGTTTCGGGAGAGTTGAATATCCGGGAAAGTCGAGTTATTGAATGTTATTGCACCCAACAACGCCCTAATTACGCTCTCCTATATGCGTTAACATTTTTCCAGCAATTTTATTAACATTTGAAATTATCACAACACAACACGACGCGCGACGCCTAGTTCGAATTATTTTTCACTTATTTTTTACTACCCGAAACAGCGTTACATCACACAAACCTGGTACCTGAGTGTTTTAGTCTCAATAACTGCATTAACAAAAAACTAAAATACTTAAATATTATGACAAAACCATGATTTCAGTATTATTTTTTGTGATCAACATGAACTGTAACCGGGACGGCCATGGCCTAAAATAAAAGCAAAAATTTCTGATTTCTGCCGTATACAGCGGCGCGGTTGGAATCTTTTGAAATCAATTGAAATGTACCAAGCCTATATGGTTTCAACTTTAGTTTCAACAATTTAATGTCCTTCTTGGGATCTTAGCCGAACTGATTGTGTTTGGCCACGTCTCCGGTCATTCAAAACTGCTTCTGTTTGGAATAATTCATGTAGCAGGGTTTTAATCTTGAATATTTAAAACCTATAATGTTAATTTACCTCTCATAATATTTTCATATATACAGGGTGGCGCACCTCATTCGCCTCGGTTGATTATATGAAAACGGAAAGATGTAGAAACAAAATATATTATATGTGGGAAGGCAATGTGCATAGTTTAAAATTATTTTGAAATGTACAGGGTATGTCAGAAGTAAGATCCACACCAAAGTTATATTTTTTCTTATGGAACACCCAGTATTTTATGTCATATTTGGATCCTTGGACACAAAATAAGGCATTTATTGTAAGGGTTAAATATGTTTACAAGCTTTGGTTTGTGAGATATTTAAAGATATTTAAATATGCATGCTACAATAGAATAGATTATTAATACCCTGTACATTACTTTTCAGAATTAATTCTTGTGCTGAGTTTAAAGGTAGAGAAATAAACTTTACTGAAAAATGTTACTAGTTCCTTAAATTTATACAGGGGTACCAAAAACTGCTGATCAATTTTAAGGATTTATTTTATATAAAAACTTCGTTATTTCAAATAAAACACCTTGTATTTTTTTAAATAAATCGAAGCAGATTCAAATGCTCTTTTAAACTATATTAGGGTTGCCTGTACCTATCTAGCTTAGAATTTGAATAAAGAGCAATTTTTCAATAAAATGCCAACCAAGAGGGTTAGTATCGTCATGGCAAGTTTATAGTAAATAGTCAATACAATACTAGCTATTTTCAAAATCGAAATTGGTTTATAGACGTATTTAAATTTATACAAGTTTACTTTTATTTAAACGTCTGCTTCGATTTATTTAAAAAAATACAGGGTGTTTTTGGTTTGGACACTAAAAATTTGAAATAACGAAGTTTTTATATAAAATAAATCCTTAAAATAGATCAACAACTTTTGGTATCCCTGTATAAATTTAAGGAAGTTATAACATTTTTCAGTAATGTTAATTTCTCTACCGTTAAACTCAGCACAAGAATTAATTCTGAAAAGTAATGTACGGGTGTTAGTAATATAATTCTACAGTTAGTGTAATAATCTATTCTTTTGTAGCATGCATATTTAAATATCTTTAAATATCTCAAAAACCAAAGATTTTAAACATATTTAACCCTTATAATAAATGCCTTTTTTGGGCCCAAGAATCCCAAAATAAAATAAAATAGCGGGTGTTCCATAATAAAAAATATAACTTTGGTATGGATCGTAGTTCTGAAACACCCTGTATATTTCAAAGTAATTTTAAATTGTACACATTGCCTCCCCACATATACCCATAAAATATTTTGTTTCTTCATCTTTCCGTTTTCGTATAATCAACCGAAGCGAATGAGGTGCGCCATCCTGTATATACGAAAGCACATTTAAATCCTTTTTAGTGATTACAGGAGCAGTAATATCGGGCCAAGCGATTCGGAAAAAGATTATCCTCCGAGCAGAAGAGATTCGGAATCGACGGGACCCAATAATCTGCCACCTTCGAGACTTGCTGTCACCGGCAACGACTCTGAAAGCGGAGGAAGTCACTCGCCATCTCCTCGAGCGAGCAGAAGAAGACAGGTATTTAAAAATATTGTTTTAGTTTAAGGATTAATATACAATGGTGGCCCAATATTGCATGGACATAAAACTACTACGTATTTTTGGAATAAAAATAAGCTCATTGGACGCAATTTACCTCTACAAAAGTGCTTCCTTTGTTCGTTCTTCTTCTTGCGGTGCCGTGCCTGTCTTCAGGCGTTGGCGATCTCCATGACTATTTCGTGGAAGAGTTCTCTATCTTCTGCTGCATGAAACAGCCTCTCCACCCCCAGACCGGTCCAGTTCCGTATTTTTCTGAGCCATGCCAATTTCTTTCGACCTACCCATCTTCTACATTCGACTTTTTCTTGAATAATCAAACGAGGAATATAATATTTGGTGCCACGCATTATGTGTCTGAATTAGCTCACCTTTCTGGCCTTGATGGTGGTTAACAGTTCCCGATCTTTGTTTAGCTGTCCAAGAACTTCCTCGTTGCTTATATGTTCGGTCGAAGAAATTTTTAGAATTCTCCGGTAGCACCACATTTCAAAGGCTTTGTTCGTTAGGGGATATCAAACTTTAAAAAAATAAACACATTTTCTCATATATTTTATAACTGTTATTCCGAATTGAATAATATTTCGGGTGTCTATGTTTTGCTAAGTGCTTTAACATATGAATTTCACAAAAATCAGTACGGCAATGGTAAAAACTACCCCTACAGAAATTTTAGTATAAATATTTTTTAACTCGACGACCGATTTTTTCGAAAAATGGTTCTTCTAATATACATACCACATTTTTTGTCCCAGGCACTTATAGTAACTTTTACCCTCAAAATTTTATTCGAATCTAAAAGTTCGAATCGCTAAAAATGCTTGGAAGAAATTTATAATAAATCGAAAAAAAAAGAATTTAACCACCTGTAGCTACGAAGCAAAGCAGAATCGGACCCCCCTCTCTCTCTCTCTCTCTCTCTTTCAAGTTTTACTACGTTTTACAATAATAAAAAATATAACGAATTATTCACTTCCTAGATTTAAATATGTTACTGCAAAATCATTTATTTGATTTAATTATTTATTTGACAGTAGTTTTTTAAGTAAACTTTTAGACGGAGAGCTGGCTACATAAAAAACTTTATCATCGTTACATGGCTAATTTTTTGTGTGAAGTATCCTTTTATGCAGCCATTATGAAATGTCTGCCAGGGCGATCCCGGGGCTTAAAGCGGGGGCGGCCAATCGAAAGGGTGAAATTTTGACACTAAAAATATTATAAGGTGTTATAATATTATACACGTGTTATAATTGCGAAAATAGCTTTTATTTATTGTTAAGAAACGTGTAAAACTGTTGACAGATATTTTTTTCGTGGTTAAAATGCCGGCAGACAACCCGAAAGACGCATGAAATTTGACAAAAAAAAAATCATGGCATACATGCATGTCGATTGGTGGAATGTCATGTTTATTTATTTAAAAAGCCGTATGCAAAAGGACAACCAAAAAAATCTTGGCTCAATCAGCGGTATACAGTTATAAAAACGCGATATTACTCTATATGATGAATCTTGAGTAAGTGCAAATATTTTCAGACCTGGTAGATTTCGATAATAGAAACATATTTTCTTTTTACCGTTTTCCAAATATGTAAGTCCAAAATAACCGAGTTATTCAAATTTAAAAATTTAAAAAGAAATTGATTTATTTTTAAATAATTCTGTTTTTTTCTGTACTTGCATCAATTATTTTAGTGTTGTAGCCATAGAGTAAAGCCGTAAGCATGATAGGTTAAGAAATAATTATACCGTTGGCAAATTTGCGGTGAACAGGCAGTTCTAAAAAGTTTTCTAAGATATACAGGAAAATTTAAAAGTAATGCACGATTTTCTACATCTTTTTTTGCAAAAAAACTCATAGACGTGTTCCAGGGGTCGAAATATGTCACCCTTAAAAGTATTTTCACGTATTTAAGACTCACCCTGTATAAGCGTTTTCAGGAAACGCTGGCCACGTTATCAATTGAATCATAATACCTGTAAGTCTATATAAAAATTTTACGGTGCAGATATCGACTCAGAGGAAGACTCGTTTGTGAGGGCGGGGATCTGCAGTACGATGAGTCAGATACAAATAGTGAGACAGAATAGTAAATGTATGATATCTGTTTTGAAATAATAAAAAAATATATTTATAATATAATCGTGATGATTTATCTATACTTAAATGCAGAAGACAGCGAGCGTTCCCTGAAAGCGCTAGAGTAATATCGCGCTTTTTGTCTGCAGCTGATTTAGCCACGATATTTTTGTCTGCTCTTTTGCATACGGCTTTTAAAATAAATAAATACGACATTCCACCAATCGGCATGCATGTGTGACATTTTTTTTTCATTCTTCAAATTTCATTTTTTAATAATTTTTGAGATAATTTTTAAAATTTCATGCCTCTTTAGCGTTGTCTGTCGTTAACTTAATAATAAATAGAAGCTATTTTCGCAATTATTACAACTCGTGTACCTTATAATATTTTTAGTGTCCAAATTTCACCCTTTCGATTGGCCGCCCCCGCTTTAAGCACCGGGATCGCGCTGGCAGACATGATTTCATAATGGCTACACAAAAGGATACTTCACACAAAAAATTAGCCATGTAACGATGCTAAGGTTTTTTTATGTAGCCAGCTCTCTTAGACTATTTCACGAATAAGTGTTAACAATATTACTATTTGATTTTCTTGTTAAATGAACTATTTACAGAAAATATGTTATATATTTTACAAATATGCAATCGGTAGCATTTAATATCTCAAAAAAGCTATATTTGTACATATTTTTTTTAAACTTAAATCTAGATTATCACCAGACAACTTTTACAGTGACTTATTATTGAGCCAGGACTTTAATTGAAAAAGTTTAAACTACTTTTAGAGAGACAAGTTTTATCGTAGTCTCTCCTCTAAGGGATTCCAAGAATTTATTATTTGTAATCTGCTATATAGTTTAATCTCATTATCCAATTTAATTATATTCTTAAATGTTTATTCTGAAATTAATTAAATTAAAATCATGTTTTATTTTCTTAATTATTTCTTTTGGCTATTTAGTTTAAGAAAAAATAGATGTGCAGATATTATCTGTGATATTATATTGACATTATTATACATTCTACAGGTTTTAATATAATTATTGATGTATATTATAACAGTGTATTTTTATAACTCTGCTTGAAGACGTTTTTAATTTTCTAGAGTTTAATGTTTTTAAGTTTCTAGAAATAGAAAATATAAAGATTGGTTATTTTGGCTTGTTAATCTATTACAGCGGGATTTTTCGTTTAAAAATAAATAATAATTAATATTATAGTATCGCCCAGTGATTAGAAAATACTCCAATCAGGTTTTCTCTTTGAGGCTTTTGCTTTGGTCTTTTTTACAATTTTGTAAGCTTATTTAAGCCGGAAATATTTAAAAAATGGACATACTCAGACAGTGTGATTCAAGTACCTATTTCTGCTGTTTTCTATTCACGATGATTTTTAAAGAATGTCCATTAAAAAAATACTATGAAGCCCTTTTGAATATGACCATTTTTAGATTAGTTCTTGTGCATTTAAAACAAGCTTAATATAAAAAAAATATAAAACAGTCAAAACTTAATTTTAGTCAAAATTAGATGTTGGATATTTTGAAACTATTTCAAATATCAACGCCTTTATTTTATAATATAAGTAGATATAGTTTTTACAATATTCTTTTTGAGTAATATATATTTCCAGGTCGATATTTATACAGGTTGTTAATTTGTTTATTACTTGCGGCAAGAGCTTTATGGTTGAAATATGGCAACCTCGGCCCGCTCGTCGCTGACGACGCGACGCGACGGGACGGGTCGGCAGAAAAATCAATAATGCATGCGTTCCCAATAAGCAGTGTTGCCATTCTGTTCCTCTATAAGTAACTGTCGAGTTAACAACCTGTATATCGATTTTCTGTTTTAAAATGATTGTGTTTTCAGCTGCACCACAAATTTTATTCCATAAATTTATTAAAATAGTTAGACCAATTTTTATTGTAGATAGGCTGTCACGTTAATTGGCTGATAAAAAAAGATTGACAAATCATGTATGCTGATATCAAAAAACTAAAAATTATTTGATAAATATCCATTTTAGATATAAGAAATGTTTAACAAAACAGAGATAAAAACGGTGTTGACTTATGATATAATATACAGGAATAAGATATTAAGTATACAGGACACAGATATTAATTCAAAATTGTGAAATAGGTAGATATATAAATCTTAAAGCCGTGTTTCAGCTAGCCGCGTTTAGCAGAATGCTTGCTAATGCACGTGAACGCTGCTGCACGCTGCGAACACGTAGCTTATGACTAAATGCGTGTTTGTCTGCTCTCGAGCGTTCGCGATCTTTTTCCATCAAGTGTTGGTACCTCAAAGGGAACGCACGACGTGCATAGTTTGGTCGGGTCTCATTTACATTTGGGCGCTCGTCTGCGATTCTTATTTTTTACTGATCATTTTGACAATAAACGACGTGGTAATTGATTGGAATCGTGAAAAATATTTACAACTAATTGTTTACACAAAGAAAATATTTTATAATTTTAATTTTATTGTGGGTTCAGTGTGAATGACTATGTAGCTAGATTTAATATAATTCTTTTTTATTAATAAAGATTTTTTTAAAGATCGGAATTACAGGACTCTGCAATTAAAAATTACTACTTGTTATAATAATTATACCAAGTGTTTCTCAAAAGTGGCTCAACTCTATAACTTTTTTATTTTTTCAGATAAAAAACGGGTGGTAGGTATATGACAACTTTTGACATTTTTGCTTAAAAAATATTGTATTTTAAATCTCAATTCTAGAGTGCTCCCTGTATTAAAAACACTAATTTTTAATCAAGAAACCTTCGACAAATAGATTTGATGGTTTAATTGTTTTCATGTCTTGTCGTGGCAGGTAATATAGGCAAATAAATGTCAAAAGTTCACATAATATGATATGGCTTTCTATTCAGTGTTATTTTCTATCAAATAAAGTAAAAAAATACAATATAATAAAAAGTGGTAGTTATTTCCGGTTAAACAGGAAGTGACCGAAAACAACTGAATACGTCAATCAATACTGATTTATGTTATAATATATACTAACACACCAAATCTCGTTTTTTTATCTGAAAAAAATAAAAAAAGTTATAGGGGTGAGCCAATTTTGAGAAATACCCAGTATTTAGTATCATAAGTCATCACGTGGTAGGTTCTATTTAGAAATATTGTCAGTTGCCGGTTTATTAGAAATGCAACAAAAAATACAATTTTGACTTTTTTTGATTTTTTTTATTGTAGGATTAGTGGACTTGTTGAATATTTTATGAACACCTCAACTTATATACTCAATCTTTAATACTTAGTGTTAAAGTTTATGCAAATTGTTGCAAATTACAATGTGGTGATGAAATATACGTGAGCAAATAGGAATTCCACATAAAGGAGAACAGAGGCGATATTGTTTTAATATTATACATATTATATTCGCCAGTATTCTGTTCAGCGCTCAGTGCTGTCCGGCTAGCTTGGATGCAGCTTTATGTAAAAGCGACAGAGCGCAAGAAACCTACAGCATTCCTTTTAAGAAACAATAATACATTAGGGTAAAAATCACCCTTGTAGAACTATAGAAATATTAAGGGCTGGCAAAGGTTAGTCTTGGGTCGAGATTTCCGTATGTGAGAAGAGTACAATGCGTTTATAATGTACTGAACAAAGAGAGGACAGTAAACACGTTGCCAAACGTTTGAAATAAACCGAGAAACTGTGCCCATCGCTAAGAGACGTGGAAGGAAATATAGCAGATTTGTTGCAGTTGACCGGTCGACCCAATCAATACCTCTGTCAGTACTTAGAGTTCTAGGGAAATGTGTACGTCATGCGTTCAACTTCACCATTTAATTATGTCTCGTGATACTTAATTTGTTTATTTCTTAACGAGTCGTTGGAATTTTCCCTATAGCTTGAATTTTTTTAAGTGCAAGCTAGAAACACTTGCATTTTTGGTAAAAATAAGTGGAATTGAGTGGGTGTTCGATAGTGGTCGCGCTGTTAGAACTCTCAATTAAAAATCGATATCTCGAAATCTATTAGAAATAATAGATTGTAGTTTTTTCAAGAACTTTGTTAATATTTCTGCTGTATTTTCTTTGTTGCAGACAGTAGGTGAAAATCTTTATCAATAAAAAAATTACACGATTGCTGAAAATTGCTATGCTCTAAAAGTAAATGGATGGATTGTTTACAATTTTTGAATGGATAAAAACAACCTTATCGAATTTTTCTTATGTAAACATATTGTAAAATATCCGATCTTGAAAATAAAAAAAAGTTTCAATATCTAAAGTGGTTCTTGAGTTATGGCCTGTTATGTGTTAGAAAGTTGAGTTTTTAAATTATCGCGATTACTGACGTTTTCGCGTTATAAAAAAAATACACCATAGCGATATCCTTATAATTCCATTTTAGATGGTCAAAAACATGTCTAATGATTTTATCTAGTTATCTCTTGAAAAAAAAAGTTTTTTAAAAATAAGCGGTTTGCGATCGTGATTTTACTTTACTTGATGGGAAAGGCGTATCGGCAACGCCGCAACAGCACACCGTCGCGTGTCGCGTCGGTCGGTCGCATTTCTCTCACTCCGACTTAGTAAGATCCCTATGCGATTTACTTCCACACATGTAAATGCCGACCCAAAAGTAACAGTTGCCAGCACGGTATATATATATATATATATATATATATATATATATATATATATATATATATATATATATATATATATGTATACTATGCTATATATATATATATATATATATATATATATATATATATATATATATATATATATATATATATGTGTATGTGCTGACATTTTTCGCATATTTTATCAAACAATGGATTATTCTATATAGTATTATTTTTTTATTAAAAGTTATAAGTAGAAATAGTTAACATATTCATGAAGTCTATTCAAAGCGTTCTTATTTTCAGTTGTACCTCTAATGTTTTTGACTGATTTTTTTATTAATTTTCAGAGAATACGAAATCACTCTTTGACTTCGCTCTGCATCTTATCTCATCACCCATTTTTCACGATGTTCAGAGAGTGCCTCTACATTTTAAAGAAACTAATTGACGCTTGCAATGAGTCGTCAAACCCTAGGCGAGTAGGCGGATCGAAGCTGACTTGCAGGTAATTAATTAAGTTTATTTAAAGCGTATCGAATAAATTGCTAAGTGAACTGTGTTGACGAAGTTCTTATTTTTTATACCTTTTAACGATTTTAATAATTTAATTTAAGATTTTGTATCACATAGCAAGACTTTGTCCCCTTTTACCTTTAGTCACAAGTAAATTATGTTTTTTGACATTTTTTGTTGTCTATTGACATCTTTTCCTACTTCGAGATCAGTGGTGCAACTAGGGGGGGGGCTTAGCCCCCCTCCAGATGATTTATGCGGGTTGTATAAAATTGGTTTTAACCTCAAATCAATATTACCTTATAGTGACCTAAGCCATCCCAAGGCTCTAAAAGCCTGTGTCTAGTTGCGCCCCTGTTCGAGATAAAGCCAGATTGATTTTTATTTATAAAACTTCATCAAATGTAAAATGATAATTTCGTTTTGGTTAGAATCGAATAAAATTCCATTAAATTAATTTACTTAATGGATATACTGCAATCCCTAAAGACCACGAGATGGTTTAATTGGCCGATATAATCGTAAAAAGTTAGTGCGCATTTAGAATTAATATATCTATTTTTTTTATTATGATGTTAGTATTATTATGCAAACTAAAAAAGAAAATTGAAAGTTTTTTACATTATACATTAAGTTTTTTATTATATATTACTTTATCAGTCTACATTACACTGGAACTAGAATAGTTTTCAAAGTATATTAAAACTTCTTACTCATTTATTTCAGCATAACAGTCTAACAGATAGAACTACCCATTTATTAGACATATAATAAACAAAGTAACAATTGATAAGCTAAGATAATAGCTAACAATTAAATATACTACAGTCACACTTACATAACAGAAACTCGAAATTAAAGTTTTAAAATATTCTAAGAGAATCTAAAGAATAATATAAGAATAGAAAATAAAGTTATAGAAAATAAAAAAAAAAAAAATAAAGCCGGTTTGCGATCTACGAGCGGTACCTACTGCACAAGTGTCATATGAAAAAATGTTCAAATCAGTGGACAATTTATGTAGGTAGCTAGAAATTTCTTTATAGCTGGTTAGCAGTATTGTCTCGCAATTATTAAAATTCCTAACTAGTTTAAATAAAAACAGTAAACACAGGTAACATCGTCTTTGTGTTAAAATTTGACACTGGAACCTTTGTAATAATAAGTTGTTATAGTAGCCACGAGCAGGTTAAGTGCCATCGATTTAAAAAAAATAAAGATATTTTTTATTTAAGATATCTTCGTTCAACACCTTCGAGTGCACTGAAATATTCAGTATAGAAGGGGTTTCCGATTATACATCCGTACTGGAGCCTAAATCGTACATAAGCAAAATACCAAGTATTGAGAGAATGGATGGTATACAAATGCTTGCATGTTCTAAAAATAAATCCTAGCACGGACAGTGAAGATTTCTTGATAGTGCGCATATGTATGTTAAAACTTAGTTTACCATTGAAGTACACACCCAGGTCTTTAAATAAATCAATACGATTCAATGGTATAGACTGCAATGTGTACTGAAATACAATCTGATTTTTTTTTAGCGTGAAAGATAGAGCTTTATATTTATTTATGTTTACCGACAATTTATTTGTCAGACATCACTTTTACTGCATTCAGATCCTTTTACAACTCTATACAATCATTTGTTGTATCAACAGTCGTCAGCGTAAAGTAAAGCATTACTGCTCAGTTGAAGTGTGATATCGTTAATAAATAATAAAAACAATAAGGGGGCTACGTTGCTGTTTTGACGCACTACACTAGTAGCTTCGAATGAAGGAGATACATGTCCTCTATGCACTACAAAAAGAAAGCGATTAGAAATATAAAACTGGAAAAATAATCATTAAGGTTCTGAATTGTCAGAATCCAATAGTGGATAGCTTGTTGGGGAGGAACTGATGATCAATGCGATCAAAAACCTTGGAGAAATCTGTATATATGGTGTCACTCCGCTTACGGCTGTTTAGTGCCTTACTCGTGTGTTGTATAAAGCTTGCTAAATTAGTGATGGTAACTCTGGCGAAAAAAAACCGTGTTAGATATAATAAAATAATAATTAATATTATATTTATTAAAAAAGTTTGTAGTATATGGTAATTTCGTAATTCTCAATTAAATTTGCTCTACCGTTGTTGAATATTTGTATAGTTTTGTATAATATATTTTCGTATTTTTTTTATATTTCGTTTTTTTTTGTAATGAGTATATGAATTTTTTACTTAACATTATTTGTTCAGTATTTCTCTCTTCAGAAATTAAAATATAAAAATCAGTTATTTCCATGGGTCTACAGCAATCTGAATAGTGGACAACCAAAAACTAAAAATTATTGTCTGCTATTTATATATAATTTATGTTTATTTTTTTTTAATTGTTGAATATCAAAATTCAATTAATTACTTTCCTTATAATATTGTTATCTTTTACACATGATTACTATAGTAGAAGAAGAAGAGCAGTTTCACTCTCCCAAATATTTTCTGCTAGCCGACAAATATTGGCAGATTGTTGGAAGCATGCAGAGCGATTCAGCTTCAGTTGAGGCAGGGCTACTCTACAACTGAGGGGGTGCCTACTCGAGCGTATCATCGGAGAAACAAAAAACATCAATATTTCACGTTTGCGGCATGGAACGTCCGTACTCTAATGGACAAGATAAATTCAAATCGACCAGAGAGACGAACAGCACTGGTCTCACAGGAACTCCACCGACTAAATATAGATGTTGCCGCTCTTAGCGAAACTCGCTTCGCGGATGAGGGTAGTATCACTGGGGAGCATTACACCTTCTTTTGGAAAGGTCACCCCGCAACACACAGGAGAATTCATGGCGTTGGCATTGCAATCAAAAACGAAATCGCCACCAAATTAACAGAAGTGCCTATTGGTGTCTCCAAATGTCTTATGACCCTAAGGTACACCATATCAGATAAATCTTACGTCAACATTATTAGTGCCTACGCTCTAGTGATGTAAACTTTAGTTACTTATATAGACTCGTAACTACTAGTTACTTTTGGTAATAGGACTCGTTACTTTGGACTCGTTACTTTAGTTACTTTAGTTACTTGTTACTTTGGTACCTAGTATCGTTACTTTATAATCGTTGTTTTGTGTACAGGTTGGAAGACTTGGTCTTGACTTGGAACTTCGTTACTTATTGTGAGCGGCGATCTTCGTTGCGTGTTCGGTTTTACCTATGAGGGGCTTCTACTTACTTCTAGTGTAAGGGCTTAATAAAATAATTTCAATACTCGGTATTCAAGTACTGAATAATATGTTTTTAATAATACGTATAATATTTTTATAATGATATGTTATGACTATGTATTAATAAAATTAAAAATAAAAGAAAACCAAATCAAACAAAGAAAATATGTGTATAATATAAAGTATTTTTTTTCTCTGTCTCTTTGTATTTTATATTAATAATTATGCAAAAATTAAAGAGTAAAAATAAAAAAATGATATATTTTTGATAAAATTTAAAAATATTAAAAAAATGCCTATTCCCCTGTGACGGATTCATCTCTTCAAAACAGTCCTTTGGATTAACGCCCCAGCAGTGTTTACTAAAAATTACTATTTTTATTTTGTAGATTTTCTTACAGTGTAAGTGGCGAAATTATAACGTGAGTTTATTTTCCCAATAATATTTCTTTTAATTTCTTTTATTTTTCTTTTTTTTAATATCTATTCTTTTGAAGAGGAAAAATATTTGCTCTCCTTTTTCAGATGTTAACATTTTTTGTGAGTAACGTGAATCCATTTTTAATTAATAGGTATCTAAGACATATTAATCTAAATAAACAATTCTATTCTTCGCCCACCGATAAATCAAAAAATAAAATACACTCTACCCCTAAATAATATCTTATATTACTTATTTCAACTAAAATTGAAAAAACGTGCGGAATTACCTAAATAAAAAGCGACAACAAACGGCAAAGGGACAGACCGCCGCTACGTCGGCATGAGCCAATCATAATAATTGTAATAAAAATATCACACATTTGCCATCCAAAACACCGGCCGGCGTCAAATCAACACTTTAAACATAAACATATTGACAACAACTAGACCTACGTCGTAGCAAGGAATACTTCAGTATCAAATTTCGAGTCCTCGGTTCGTTCATTTCCAGGAATTACGATTACTGCTAGCGCAAAAGTAACGAATTAGTTTAGTAACGAGTAACTAAATTCAAACGGTAAGCGTTACTTCGAGTCCTCGTAAAGTAACTGTTACTTTGTAACGATTACTTAGAATTTTTACATCACTACTACGCTCCCACCCTAGACGCTAAAATTGAGGATAAGGATAAATTTTACCAAGCTCTACAAAATGCTCTCCAACGAATTCCAAAGCACGAACGAATCATTTTGCTAGGTGACTTTAATGCTCGTGTCGGTAGACAACAGGAAATATGGCCTGACGTATTGGAAAAACATGGAATAGGAAACGTAAATAGCAATGGTGAACGTTTATTAACAACATGCATAGAGTATAATCTATGCATCACCAATACGTGGTTCATGTTGAAGGACAAGTTTAAAGGTACCTGGAAACATCCCAAATCAGGTCACTGGCATCAATTGGACCACGTAATCGTTCGAAGGACGCATCTAAAAGATGTCAGACTTACAAAAGCCAGAAAGATGCCGAATGCGGCACTGACCATCGACTTTTAATTTCAAAAATGAAAATCCAGTTAAAACCCAAACATCCACACTGTAGAAAGCAAAACAACATAACCAGATTGAACGTACGGGGTCTAGAGACCAAAAATACCGCCGACGCCCTCCGGGAAGCCATCAAAGAATCACTTCCACCGCTAACTTCAGTCTTAATCTTGGAAGCTGAACAAGGCTGGACATAATTAAGGGATGCGATTCATAAAACTAGCGAAGCAGTACTGGGAAAGTCCACCAAAAAGAAACAACCAGACTGGTTTAATACAACGCGAATATAGTGTATATATTT